TCACCACCAGACTGGCCCACCTCTAGTCCTAGCTCTCATGCTAACCAGTGGAAGCAGTAGCCCAGCAAGGGAGTCCCAAAAGTTCTTCTAACAGCTTTGCTCCCAGCCCCGGGTCCTGCATGAGCCAGAAGGTGTTGTGGCCCCGTCTGAGATGGCCTGCCTCCAGTCTCAGCATTTGCCAGCAGGTAACAGAGCCTGACTGAGCTCAGCCCACCCTTAGTCCCAGCTCTCACCAGTAGGCTCACCTCAAGTCAAGCTTCATATGAACTGGCAGATATTGTGGTCCAAACCTGGCCTGGCCTGCACCCTCTCCTGGCCTTACTCATGCCATTGTGTGCTGTAGACTGAATCTGCATGGCCCACCACAGTCCCAGCTCACATATGTGCCAGTGGGTGCTGCAGATCAACATTATCTAGCCTGCTCCCAGTCCCAGCTCCTACATTCACAAACAGAAGCTGTGCCCAGAAGTGAAGTTTCTCAAGTTCCCCTACCAGTATACGCCCAGTCCCAGCCCTGGATCCTGTGTGTGCAGTTGGGTGTTGCTATCCAGACTGACATAGTCGACTCCCAGTCCTGGCATTTACCAGTGTGTACTACAGCCTAGCCTGACTTGCCCGCACCCATTCTGGCTCTCATCAGTGGATGCTACAGCCTGTCCCAGTCTGGCCACCCCTAGATCTAGTGTTTAAGTGACCCGGTGGTGGTTGCAGCCAAGCTTAGCTTGTCCCACACCCATTCTTGCTCTCACCAGGGTATCCTACAGCCTAGCCCAACCTGGCCCACACCGATTCTGGCTCTTGTGAGCACTAGTGGGTACTGGATCCTTGGCCAGTTTGGTCTGCCCCCAGACCCAAGCCACATGCGTGCTAATGATGATACAACCTTGCCAGGCTTGGTTCTCCCTCAGCCCCATCTCTCACATTCACTATAGCAGCAGCAGCCCAGTGAAGGAGTCCCCAGATTTCTTATACCAGTCCCCTTCCCAGCCCTAGCAGACTCTTAAACTCAACCTGATATGGCCCTCTTGTAGCCTCAGTTCTTGCTGGCAGGTGTTGCAGCCCAGCCGAGCTGGGCCCAGCTCTGTTCTGGCTCTCATGCATGCCAGCGGGTACTAAGGTCTTGCTCAGTCTGGCCCTCCCACAGTCCTGGCTTCCGTGCTCCCCAGAAGGAGCTGAGGAGTAATAGTAGGGGAGTTCCCCAGATTCACCTTGCAGGTCTGCTCCCCGCTCCAGAGCTCATGCATGCCAGCAGAGGCTGTGACCCTGCGTGGCACGGTCAACTCAGTATCAGCCCTTGCATGTGCCATTGGGTGCTGCAGCCTAGCCACACCTGGCCTTCTCCCAGTCCTAGCCTCTGTGATTGCCAGGTGAGTTCCATGGTCCAGCCTGGCTCAGTCCATCACCACCCTTAGCCCTGAATGGAAACTAGTGGGCGCTGCAGCTCTGCAGAGGTGAACCCAGAATTCCCCTACAGTATCTTCCCCCACATCTAGTTCTCTTCTGTTCTGGTGCGTGCTCCAGCCTGGCCTGAGGTGGCCCACCCCCTGCTCCAACACTCAGTGGTGAGTACGGCAAATTAGCCAAACAAGCATGCCCCCATCCCAGATTCCTAGCCTGTGTGAGTGCCAGCAGGCAGTAGGGTAACGCTATTTAGCCCAGCCCAGATCTCCCACATGGGCGGGTGCCTTGGCCTACCCGGACATGCCCTCCAGTCTCCTCCCTGTAAACCACTACATCTCAGCTCCCTTTCCTATGTGTAAGTGCAGTGGTTCAGTCTGCGGGATACCCCAGAAATCATTCCTTCTCTGTCAAACGTGCCCTCAGCCACGTCTACTCCAGTAAATCCTCAGACCCTCTCCCCAGGCAGCCTGCAGCCCTCCAGCCTGGAACCTGGGGCGGTGTGTCCTGTCCCAGAGTTTCCTGCCTTCCCTTCTATTTTTAAACAAAAAGGAAAAAAAGAGAAAGTGGCTGCTGTGGCATAACTGGTATTTTTAAAATATATTTTTTATTTGGAGTTTTGAATTATGTGGTACAGTTTTGTATAGGCTGGAATTCCCCCCCAAACTGCCACTCCCAACTGATTCCCCCCATTTTACTACAGTGGTGTTGTCCTTCATAAAGAATCATAATTCTATCAGTCTCTCATCTCAGTGTACCCCGACATTGCTGGTACACACAATCTTACTGGTGTTATTAATACAAATTTGGCATTAACTAGGCCCAGAATGCCCGCCACCTATTGACTGCTTTTATATCCCCCGTGCCATGATGGCGGCGGGTGAGGCCACGGGCCCACCCAGCCCTCCGATGAACTCACCATGAAGGGAGCAGTCTCTGGAGTTCAGGCAGGCCCAGCGGCAGGTCCCTGCATGGACGTGCTGGCTGGAATCGGGGCTCCGGGCATGGTGACAATCCCTGCCTGGCACCCATCACCCTAAACTATTTCTTAAGGCAACTTATTTATCCCCATTTCTTTTAGCGTTCATTCCTGTCTGTAATGATTATTTTCGTAACCAGCTATGTAGGGCCAGATAGGGAACTGGATCAGAAGTGGAGTGACCGGGACTTGAACTGGTACATGGAATGCCTGTGGTACAAGTGGAAGAATAGCCCATCATACCATTGTTGGCCCCATAATCATTTTTATTTTAATTATTTGTTTATTTTTTAAGATTTATTTGTTTTACTGGAAAGGCAGATATACACAGAGGAAGATCTTCCATTTGATGATTCACTCCCCAAGTACCCGCTATGGCAGGAGCTCTGCTGATGCGAAGCCAAGAGACTGGAGCCTCCTCTGGGTTTTCCATGCAGGAACAGGGTCCCAAGGCTTTGGGCTGTTCTTGACTGCTTTCCCAGGCCACACACAGGGAGCTAGCTAGATGGGAAGTGGAGCCGCCTTGTTTTTACTATTATGGGGGGGGGGGGCTGGTGTAGTAGCCTAGAGGCTAAAGTCCTTGCCTTGCATGCACTGGGATCCCATATGGGCACTGGTTCTAATCCCAGCAGCTCCACTTCCCATCCAGCTCCCTGCTTGTGGCCTGGGAAAGCAGTAGCGGACAGCCCAGAGTATTGGGACCCTGCACCCTTGTGGGAGACCTGGAGGAAGTTCCTGGCTCCTGGCTTCAGCTCAGCTCATCTCTGACTGTTGCTTCCACTTGGGGAGTGAATCAGATAATTTTCTCTGTATATCTGACTTTGCAGTAAAAATAAAAATCTCAAAAAAAAAAAACAGTTAAAAGGCTGATGCTATCAAATATTGAAAACTCATTAGAAAGCTGTAGTAATTAAACAATACAGTAAGACCGTGAAACGGGCAATAAGAATCCTGCATTGACACACAGTAAGTTAGCTTTCCAGCTCAACGCAGGAATCCCACAGGAATGCCATGATGGACTGTAAGTACTATATCTGGTTTTTAGAGTAACATTGTCAAATAAATCATCCCTATTGTACTTAGAAATCAGTTGAAGCTTAGGTTAAGCAGCGTATCCTTGTGCCCACAGCTCGTGTGTGCCTGGAGCTGGGATTCAACCCAGATCTTTTTTTGACTGCAGATGATCTGTTCCTCGTGACTTCTGTTCTGGTGTGGTGCCCACTGGGACCTGCTCTCCAGGAGCTGGGGCAAAGGCTGGCAAAGGCTGCAGCGAGCACAGGGCAGGACGGTGCTGGCAGCCTAACCTGCCACCTGCTTCTTTGTAGTTCTGAGTGTCATTTACTGAAAGACTCCTGAATGAGTTTAGGCCCTTCGTCTGTACAGGAGGTTTTTGGTCTTACTTGAAAGATAAAATTATTCTGCTTTGGCTGAATAGCAGCTGTAGTCATTAAAAAAAAAAAGGAATTTGCTGTCAATCTCCCATTTGTCTATATGCAGTATTCATGAATGCTGTGCTGTCTGTTTGGAAAGGCTTTGTAGAGTTCTCTGCTCTTCCCCGGCCTGTCTCTCCTCACTGTGTCTTCGCCTCTGGCTTTGCCTAGCCTCTCCCTCCGACACCGAGTGCAAGCTCCTTTCTCAAAGCTGACCTGCTCGCGTCGAAACCAGTTGCATGGCAGGCTGCTCAGCGGCACCGTACACTTGGCCAGAAGGAAAAAAATAAATGGGCCTGATTTTCCCTTCAAGCCCTTGAAAGGCCGCAGGCACGGGATGGTCCCAGCACAGGTGACACGGAAGAGCCACGCTCTTGGTCTTTCCTACTTTTGCCAGGAGTCCGATGGCTCCGTCCCAGCGGGGGCTCTGGGAACGACCCACTGCCTGCTGAATTAAACTCTGTTTCTTAGTGCCCTGACATTCACCTTCTTGCTTTCTGTTCTTCGTGTATACTGCGTGCTGACTGAAGCGGGCTGCTTGCCGCGCTCCCAGGGTCGTGTCTTCCGTGTGGTTTGCATCTGCTGCCTTCGGATTGTTCATTGGATGTCCTGTATGGCCTGAGCCTTCGCCAGCCCCTGCCTCTCACCTCGACTATTGAAAGCACTTTAAGCAGCTTTCCCCTACCCAGCATGGTGATGTCCTTGAACCTAAAATCTTGCCTTTGATTTGCACTTGGTTATGTATTAATTACATAGAATACACGTAATCTGGTCAGAGGATGCAGAGGTTTTCCCTGTGCATAAATGAGATCAGTTCAGAAACCCCGTAGGTTTAAGCAAGCACGGTATTTGTACTTAGTTTAGCAAAGAATTGTTTTCTGAACAGACGTTGATTTTTGAAATGCTTCCCATTCTTTGGGATGGGCATTCAGCCTAGCCACTAAGGTACCCACATCCTCCGTATCAGAGTTCCCCCGGGGTTTCATTCCCAGCCCTTGCTCCTGACTTCGTGCTAACGCAGACCCTGTGCAGCGGCGGTGGTGGCTCAGTAGCCCTGGTCCAGCTGCAGGCATTGCAGGCATCTGGGGAACGAACGAGCAGAGCGAGCTCTTTCTCTGCCTCCCAGAGAAATCATTAGCAACGTGAGAAACCAGTGTTGACCCCCCTCTGTGCTGACTCTCCTTCTTTTCTAGAGCGCTGCCTTCAGTCTAGAGACGGAGGAGGAGGAGGAGGAGGACCCTGGAGCCATCGCAGAGGACAGCAACGATATTTACATCCTGCCCAGCGACAACTCTGCCCAAGTCAGTCCTCCGGAGTCCCCGACTGTGAGCACCTCCTGGCAGTCAGAGAGCTTACCTGCCTCCCTGTCGGCCAGCCAGAGTTGGCACACCGAAAGCCTACCCGTGTCCCTGGGTCCCGAGTCCTGGCAGCAGATAGCCATGGACCCCGAGGAAGTCAAAAGCTTAGACAGCAACGGGGCTGGCGACAAGGGCGAGAACAACTCCTCTAACTCGGACATTGTGCATGTGGAGAAAGAAGAACTAGCCGAGGGTGTGGAAGAGGGCGCTGTGGCCCCTGTGCCCGGGCAGCTGGCCTTCGCTCCCACCCCAGCCCCCTTGGCCCCGCACACCACTGCCACTTCCTCGCTGGAAACCAGGGCAGTCGGCCCGGAGGTGACTTCGGAGGAAACCAGCCCCGCCACGTCTCTGTTTGTAGAACTTAGCGAGGAAGAGTTGAGGGCAGCGGCCGTGCCACCTCCTGATGGGGCGGAGGTGGTGACCCCTGCACTGGAACCCACAGCCACACTGCCGAAGGGGGACGAGTCCCACGTAAGCCAAGAGAGCCTTCCAGAAGAGCCCACCCCCCCTGCTGGAGGCGCCAAAGCCAGCCCACCGTGTGAGGGCAGAGTGATGCTGCTGCTGGGCGGGGCAGCCGCTGCCGCCATCCTGGCCGTGGCACTCGGGGTAGCCCTGGCACTGCGCAGGAAGTGAGCGGGCCTCCCGAGGGGGGCACGCAGCTCCTCGGCTGCGCTTGTGGGCGCTGGCTTTGGACTGCCAGCAGCGGACTGCACGTTTGCGTGGCACCTGGGGAAAATTGGGGCTTCCTGCTCAGCAAGGCTGGTCACACCGCGGGGCTCGAGGTGGAGGATATTCACGGTCACGATTGTAAGTCCCAGGGGCCTTGGCCTCTGCCGCACTCGGAATCACCCAGGCACAGGGCTCCCTCCAGAGCAGGGGACCCTACCAGGCTGTCGGCGGCAGCTGGCGACTTCCCTCTCCGAGGGTGCCATCCTGGGCATCGAACGCTCTTTAGTAACGTCTTGGCCTCTGCCCACAAGACAGAGTAGTATCCCACCTGCATTGGTGAGCACTGATGAGAGCAAAGATGGTGCCCGCTGTGGACAGTCACTCCTGCTGAGAGCCAGTGCTGGGGGAGAGGGTGTTCGGGCTGGGCGTGTGGGCGAAGCCTCCGCCTCAGGAGTGTTAGCAGGCAGCGCCAGTGCCAGCAGCTCCTCTGCAAGGAGCTCCTCCTTCCCGGTGGCCAGGCTATGCGTGCCACCCACTTGGTCGGATTCTTGCCCTCTGCCCTCTTGCTGGCCCCTCTTGGGCAGTGGGCTTCCCCTGCCGTCTCTGCTCTCAGGTCGCTTCTCAGAGCCCACAGGAGAGGGCTCGCTCTGTGCTTCTGCCCAGGCCTGCCACTTTCCCAAGGCTTTCTCTGCCTGGCCCTTGCAAAGATGCTACCTTTAGGAATCTTTTATCAATTAAGTCAGTATGGAGCAACCTGGGGCGCCGTGACCTGGGAGCAGTGCGGCTGGCGGGCCAGAGAGACAGGATGACAGGATGGCGACCTAGGTAACCTATCAGTAGGCTCCAGCCCGTTGGTCGGTCCGTGTTGCCCCCCTCGCCTGTAGTGGCCGCCCAGCACCCCTCAGGGCTGACCTCAGGCCCATTTCCGCTCTGCCACTTCTCGGTGGGTCTCTTGTCACCCAGGGCTTACAGAGCCAGTTGAAATCAAAGTCTAACTAAATATAATTATCACTGAAATAAAATGACTAGATATAAGTTAATTTCAAGTATCAGACAAATGAGGCTTGAATTTCAAGATGGAGACCACCTCGAGATGCACACTGGCTCTCAGAGGAGTCCAGAACAAGGCCTTTTGTGCCCAGCCTCAGCCCAGCGCTGCCCAGGGGAGCACAGCGCAGCCCCAGGGGAGCCCAGCACTGTACAGGGGAGCCCGGTGCTGTACAGGGGAGCATGGCGCTGCCCCAGGGGAGCCCAGCCCCAGGGGAGCCTGGCATAGCCCAGGGGAGCCCAGCACTGCCCTGGTCTGGCCTAGGAGAGGCAGGGTGTTTCCTCTCGTCTGGCCTGTCCCATGCCTAAAGGCAGAGAGGAGCAGTGTGCCCTGGTGAGGCTGAGGGCCGCAGTGTCTGTGCAGGGCACAAGTGGTTTTTATAAACCAGGCCATTTCCGATTCAGTTAGTAAATGTAACACATGACTTTTTTAGATCCTGAAATTTATACTGAAATTACTTGACCTATCCTTCCCACCAAAACCCGATGCTTTCAATGTGCTTTCTTTTTGAAAAAATAAAACCTGCTCCCTGAAGTGTAGCATTGTTGTTAAGTGATCAGGAAAAGCTCTGAGGACGTGTCTGTGTGTCTTACAGCAGTGTCGTGTCTTGTTCTGAGGGATCTTGTGGCACCCTGAGGAGCTGGCTGCAGGTGAGGGGCCCGCAGCACCGATGCGCAAAGGCTCCTGGCACTGACAGGTGCCCTGGAGTTGTCTGCATTCAGTCCTTGCTCTGCTCCTGTTTTCCCTTAGGTTAAGAAACAAACTCGGGGAGTCATTTTGATTGTTTCTACCTTTTTCATAAAGCCTTTTCTCTCAGACTCAACTTATATAAACCCTGGATCTCATGCCCAGCGACCAAGCACATCTGAGCTCTGCTGGCAGCCCCTGGCCATGGGACCCCAGGTCTGTGCCCCCCGGCCACAGAGCAGGGGAACAGGGGGACAGTGGGGTCACACCCACCATGCAATAGCTGGGCTTGGCTGGATTGTCGTAGATGTGTGGACTTCTCCCTCTGGAACGCCTGTTGGTTCCTGCAGAAGAGCACATGGCACTGTCCCCATGCTTTGCACACTCCCCTGCCTGTCAGCAGTGTGGCCTTCCAAAAAATCTCTGTTTTTTCACTGTTGCTTTAGAATATTCCTCCTCTTCCTCCTCCTCCTCCTTTCCTTGAGGGGGCAGAGAGCAGGCAGCCATTCCTTTCTGTCCCAAACTTAAATGTTGTAATCCAAGGTAAAGGAAAGATCCAGCATTAAATTTAGCTTCCTGGAATTCTTGCCGAGGTTGGGAAAATCAGCTGGTCCTCCCCCCCCCCCCCCCCATCCCTCAGCCAACGCGGGGAAGCCCTGAGCCCTCCAGAGCCTTCCTGCTGGCTGTGTTCACTCTAAGGATTTCTAGCGACTAGGCAGAAAGGAAGCTGAGGGAGGTTTCTTGAGTTCCAAGTGCCAGTTTCTGCCCCCAGGGTCAGTACCCAGTGTGCCTTAGAGGAGTCCTGGAACAGTCGCCCTCTAGAGGACGTTCTAGGTAACTGCAGCATCCATGCGATCCTCACTCAGAGGCTTCCTTGCCCGTGTTTCCAACCAACCCATCTCCTAGTGGTGACCCAGGGAGGGATGTGGGTATGAACTGCAGCAGGGCCCGCCTTGGTGCCAGTCCTCCATAAAGTGATGCCTTGCTGCCTGCCTTCGCCCCTGATGGTGTGGCAGATACCTGCGCCAGTGCCCACGCTTGACATTTGAATTTCTCACTCATTTTAGGAGATGCAGAAATAAAAGGGTTCCGCCTTCTCTTTTCTCCTAATTTTTAAAAAAGATATATTTATTTTATTGGAAAGGCACATATACAGAAAGGTCTTCCACCTGCTTTTTCACTCCCCAAGCGGCCGCAATGGCTGGAGCTGAGCTAATTTGAAGCCAGGAACCAGGAACTTCTTAGTCTCCCACGTGGATGCAGGGTCCCAAGGCTTTGGGCCATCTCCCACTGCTGTCCCAGGCCACAGGCAGGGAGCTGGGTGGGAAGTAGAGCAGCTGAGACAGGAGCCGGCACCCATATGGGATACCAGTGCATGCACAGCAAGGATTTAACCTCTAGCCTATCGCTCTGGACCCACCCGTAATTTCTTAAGTCTTGAAAAACTCAACTTTCAAAGGACTCGAGGCTGGCTGGTGACTGTGTTACAGCCCGTGAGCTGTCTCTATGCAAGTATTGCCTTGTGTGCAGTCTTGGCGACAGTGCCCGCCCCTGGGGAAATGAGTCTTGGCTGCTGAACACCCGTCAGCAGGGAGGAGTGTGTGAAGTTAGGGCAGATCCTCCCTGCTGGAGTGTGCCTTCCCCACTTCCGCCCCACCTTTGTGTAGGGTGTGTTAGTACTCATGAGCACTTGGTGTATGCCAGGGTGGCTCAATGCCCTCACACCCCCTACTGCACTGGCACAGTTAACAGGGCGAGCCCTGTTCCTCAGCCCGGGTAGTCTCCTGGCACACAAGTGGCAGTGATCTGAATCCTTCTAGTTTTTCCCTTCCTTATGACCCTACGAAGCAGTATTGGCAGGCTCCTGGCAACACCCGTGCCAGCTGCTTCCCGCAGTGGGTATGGGTCAAAGGCAGCGTACACTGTGCTGTGTGCCCCGGAAGGGGAGCCTTCCCGTGAATGTGCACAGCACAGTGGATTCCGAGCCTGTCTCTAGAACATGGGTCAAGTTCTGGGCGGGGCTGTCAGCAACGCCTGCCTGCGCCAGGTGTCTGCCCTTTGCGCAGTGGTCTGGGCAGTCATGGCGGGGTCTTGGTCAGGCAGTGTTTTTGCTCTAATGGTTAGGCCAAGTAACACAAATGCTAACATAGGCCGGTGAAGGCAGCCCCACGACCCCTTCGTTTTCAATCCCTGCTTCTGCCGTCAGCCTGGGTGGACAGGTGGGGGTGGGGAACGCCTGTAGGTGTGGCTGTGCCACTCAGCAGCTTGGGGAAAGTAGGCGCAGGCACGGCTTTCTCAGAAGTTCAGAGTGGGGACATCCCATGGGACACGTGGGCTCCAGAGTGCGGGACAGCGGGGTCCTGTCACTCCTGGGCTTGCCTTGTTCGTGAAGAGCTGCGGGGCGGCGACTGCGGTGTTCCTAAACCGGGGTGCCCCGTCTTTCTGCATGGAACTCTGCCCTGCCTGGAAGGCAGCCGGGTCCTCGTTGGACGTTCACGGAGTCGGAGCCCTGGCCAGACCACTGCTGCATTGCACGCTCAGGTTGGGACTGTTCTCAGGGACATTCGCAAGGCCTTGTCATAAGCTGAAAAGTAGCAGCTGGCTCCGGAAGGTTCTTGCCCTGTTCTCCCCTCTCCCAAGGGGAAATTTTATAGTGAAGCCACTCAATTTTGTGTTCTTTGCACCACTGGGAAAAAAAAAAGTGGTTAATAGATAACACTACTTAGGACAAAAGTTAAGACCTTTAAAAATCCCATGTTTATTACCTCCATCTCTGGGGACAGGAAGTGGAGGTGGATCTTCCCTGCCCAGGTCTGGAATAACTCGGTTTGTTCTGACAAGCTCCAGTTGTCGGTGACACAGGTGGGGTACCGGACAGAACCAGAGGCTCAGACAGGCTTCCACCTGCTGTAGCCTTCCGTTTCCTTCCACCTTCAGATGAAAAGTGCCTCTTCCTACTTTATTCCTTGAGTAAATTCAGATTTGTTGTTTTTAATAATTTCAGAAATACTGGAACTCAATGGTACTTTTGCTAATTCATTGATAGCATTTTACTTGAGCAGCGTGTTCATCCCGTTGTGTGTGCGGAGTCCCGTTTGCCATGCCTGCTGCAGCTCCGACTGGCTCGGTGTGTTCCTGCTGGCTCCTGTGCTGGGCCCCTGGCTCATCTGGCGCTCACCAGGGGGACACCATGAATTGCGCTTTCTCTCAGAAGCAATGTGTGGACAAGAACCCACTCCAGGTTGCAATAAAATGAGATTGGAAGAAAACCAACAGGCTCACCGTTCTGTTCATGGGGGGAGTTGGCGGAGAGAAGCCCTCTCGGTGATCAAGGAGCTGTGACTCCACCTTCTGCAGCTAGGGTCCTAACGCCCCAAAGACGGACACTCAGCATCCCAGTGCCAGTCAGCACGGCTGGCACAGCTGGGCAGCCAGGGGAGGCTGTGGTGTTCAAGTAACTTTGAGCATTTCCGTGGTCCCTGTGAGCACCTGGGCAAGGTCAGCAACCATCTTGTCCAGCGAGCTGGTCCCACCTTTCACAATAGAGCTCACTGCATCAGAACTTGAGAAGCAACGAAACCCCTATTTTCTAAAGAGACACCTCTCAGTTACATCCCCAAGATCACAGTGCCAGGACAAAGCCCCCTTAACTCCTGGGGTGCTCCGCAGTCAGGGTTGGGCCGTGTTCAAGATTGGAACATCTGTGTGTGATGCGGTGGGATGCTTGCCCTGTCAGCTGGAAGGAGGGGTGTGACTCGGCATGTCTGGGTCAGGCTGCACAGGTTTACACAGACCCGTTACAGGCTAGGCGGAAATGACTGAAGGAGTCTAAGCATGTTTTAAAGATTGGTTGATGTAGTTGAAAGTCAATTAGAAGCCTTCTTTCCACTGGTTGATTTCCCCAGATGGCTGCACTGGCTGGAGCTGAAACCAGAGCCAGGAGCCTGGAGCCTCTGGGTTTTCTGCATGGCTGAAGGAGCCCGAGTATGTGAGCCATCTTTCGCTGCTTTTTTTTTTTTTGTATAAGTTTTATTTTTGTTAAGTTTTACATATTTGACTAGGGTGCAAAGGGTCAAGGGCTAGAGCAAAGTGGGCGGAACCATTGTTTCCGCATTCTCTTTTTTTTCCTTCCTGTATCTGGTGGGAGGGGAGACATTAGGGGTGAAGCCACACCCACCCTCCCAACCATCCCAGGGTCCCCGCTGTGGCGCATGCTCCGAGGGTCCTGCTCAGGTGGTTTCGATAGTTCAACAGTTCTGTATTGCTGCCAATCTTGCCATTCCAATCATGATGAAATCTCTCCAGACTCCACTGGCTGGCATAGTTCACCTTAGAGTCTCCACTTGCCCAGGTGTTCACTGCCAACTCTATGCTGGGGTAGTTGATGAATTTGGTCTGTCTTCTGTCCTCTGTTATAGTACCAGGTATCCTCTCCGGGCTCCAATGTACTGCCATATCCTCCATGTGCACCTGGGTGTGCTGTCCACTGCTCTAAGCCACTGAAGAGGCCCAGCTCTGACACATGCGTTCCACGATCAGACCATGGAACCTGCAAGTTCCTCCATGGTTGGAGTTGAGTCCAGTGGTTTGGGGGGATTCCCAAAGAAACTTCATCTGAGGTGATCCCAGATCTGATCCTTGTGTCTGGCACATTCCTTCGCCCAGTCAGCCTACGCGCACACTGTTAGTTGTGATTGCTGGGTCAGTTGTCTTCAGCCCTGTTTTTCACACAAACTAATGGGTGTCACAGTCCAGTCCGATCCTGCCCCCGCACACTCAGGCCCCTGCAAATCAGTGGGAGCTGCAGCCTAGTTGGAGCAACCCACAATAAACCCCACCAGGCCTGCCTCCT